ACACCCTGGCAGATCCAACTTTCCAACAAGATAATGCCCGACCACATGTTGCAAGAGTCACAATAGACTTCTTTCAACATAATGATGTCACATTGTTACCATGGCCACCAAGATCTCCCGATTTATCCCCAATTGAGCACGTGTGGTATATGATGGGTAGGAGATTGCTCAATTTGCAACGTCCTCCTCAGACTCTAGAAGCACTTCGAGAGGAGTTGCTGGTTGTCTGGAATGAGATACCACAGGAGGACATTGACCACCTGATCAGAAGCATGCCTACGCGCGTTGGAGAATGCGTAGCACATCAGGGTGCGTCCACACATTATTAAAGGTCAAAGGGCTTTAAAGCAGTGCAATCATTTTGAAATTTTTATCATTTACTTATTATGCTTCATTAAGTACTTATACAACATTTTATTAAAATAAAACCATTTAAACTGGGTGTTCGGATTTATATGTCACTTAGTATATTTTCTAACAAAATTATTCCATCTAAACAATCCGCATTTCGACAAGGTCATAATACAGCTTCGGCACTCTGTGATTTAACAGGCAATATAACAATGGCACTTGATAACCAAAAAGCAGTAGCTCTCATACTTCTTGACTTTACTAAATCATTTGACACCATTAATCACCCACTTCTTGTGTCTAAATACAGTTATTATGGGTTTTCTGAAAAACCTCTTTCGGTTATTCAAACCTACCTTGAAAATCGGTATCAAAAAGTTCGTCTAAATTAGTAGTACTCTACGGACAGAAAAATTTGTTCTGATGTACCACAGGGATCAGTCTTAGGACCCCTATTATTTTCACTATATGTCTCAGATTTAGAAACAGAGGTAAAATCATGCAGCATACATTTTTTTGCAGATGATACTCAGATTTTCTATTCATTTAGGGGTAATGACTTGGAAACAGCCAATAAAAAAATTAATCAAGATCTTTCCCAAATCGAAAAGTTCAGTAGTAGTCATAATCTTCGTTTGAACCCTTTGAAGACAAATATGTTGGTATACGCAAATAGAACAAAAAAGAATAGCTTATAAAGGACATATACATACTTTTAAAAGGTAATAAATTAGTTCCTGTGGATCATTCGAAGAACCTAGGTATTATAATGGATGATGACTTAAAATTTGTTGTACACGTAATCTATCTGATTTCTCAGTGCTACGCTATTCTCAGAGTTTTATTTGCAAATAAGGCTATATTACATCAATCTGCCAGAAAGCAATTATGTGAATCTTTCTTGTTTTCAAAGATATCGTATTGCTTAGTGGTTTAGTATCCCTATTTAGATATTATAACAAGAAATCGTATTCAAGATATTACGAATACATGTTGCAGACTTGTGAATGGTCTCAGAAAGTATGATCATATATCGAATGCCATTAATGAACTCAAATGGATGAAAATTGATAAAATGTAGAAGTACCAGCTCCTAAATCTGACTCATAAGGTTCTTTATTCAAAAACACCGTCATATTTAGTAAACAAATTCATACGTAGAGGTAATAGCATGGCATTAATCTTAGATATAGAGATACTTTTTCAATTCCACGCCACAGCATATATATTTCAGAATACATATATTTACAATGCGATCAAATCATATAATTCTTTAGACCGCAGTTTAAAAGAAACCAATCAATTATCCAAATTCAAGAAAAAAGTGAAAGAAGTTCTACTTGATATGCAGCGAAATCTGTTGTAACCCATAAGTGGCCTCATATTTACCTTACGCTTTTACTTAGATTATCTTAATTTGTCGTTATTGTATACAGGTATTAATTTTCAACAAATTCTGTTTTTTTTACATCTCGTATTGCTAACCATCTAGGTAGGATAGATATATTATCTAAATCTCGCCTTCTGTAAGAATATTACAAATAAAAGACGTTAATTATTATTAGTTATTATTATTTCGCTATTATGTCCCTACAGTAGCTCGACAACTAACTTTAAAAGTACGAACAGGAGATATTTGCCTTCTAGGACTGATCTTACACGGCCTCTACCAACACCTTCTCTTGAAACTTGAGTTGAACCTGTGTCTCCATACTTTTTTACAATATCTGCCACCGTAGACTTTGCGACATTTATTTGTTTAGCAATATCCCAAAAACCCTTTCCTTGATGAAACAGTTTAATGATTAAAACCCTGATTGCATCGTTTGTTGCTTTACTAGACGATATTTTAAAGCAAATTGTATCAGAGAATTGATTCTTAAATCAAAACGTCAAATTGTAAACAGTTTTTTGTTTCCATGGCCTGCTATTATTTTCTTTTCACTGTCATCTCCGGACATATATTTGTTGCATTGTTATCAATATTTGTAGGATTTTATATTTCAATATTATATTATTTGAAAACAGTTTTATTAATATGATGTTCAAACAATATATTTCACAGTCTTCAAAGAAACAAGTGTTCTTTAACCTTACAAAAATAAACACGCTTTTAGATAAAATTAGATATTCGAACATTTTTTTGTTAGTTCTCGTAGTGTACTGCTCTAATTTGAATAAAAATCCTACTATTTATAACTCTCTAGAATTGCAATCTTATTGATCTGCTAGGTGCTTACAAATACATTTTTATCCTGAGGATCCAGTACCTTTCTCTCGTTTATCTAAATCAGATTGTACTATTTTATATGCTCCGGCAAAGTAACAAGACACAGGATCATCATGCGCCCGTAACTTAAGGCATAGAGGCACATTGTGCTTTAAAACTGCACAATGAATGCGTGCTTCTATTGTTATGAACATACACTATGAAAAATTTACAATGAACTTTCTATGCGGCATTTCTGAAGAAAATTAGGTAGAATTAAGTCCTAAAGACATTTCAGATATTTTGCTACAATACATACATTTTGCGGAAAAAGTACTTGGGTTCAAGAACAGCGGAAGCATATTATTCATACAAAAGCTTAAGGAGAAGGTACAGAAAGCAAAACAGAGATCATGGCAAGAATTTGGAGAGAGGATGGAAGTCAACAGCAAAAATTGTTTTATAGAGTGCTAGAGACTATGAAGGGAAAGGAAAACAGCAATTCAACGCAGATAAAAGAAGAATCAGGGAGGTTACCTAACACAGAAGAAGACATTGACATGTGATGGAAGGAATACTTTTAGACATTTATGGGGGGGATATAAACATAAATAGACCAGGCAAGAGAGACAAGTATGGAGAACAATGAAGATATTGAACTAGAAGAACTTATGCTAGCAGTTGAAAAGGTCGCAGGTAATGACAATATAAAACCTGAGATGATGAACACGAAGTGTTTGAGAGTGAGAGATAGGCATAATTCTATGACATTTAAGAAGAGGAATAAGAAATTTTGCGAGAATTATAGTGGTGTTACTTTGCTCAGTGTGATCGCTAAACTATATGAAAGGATATTGTATAACAAATTGGTTGAAAGAATAGAACCATATCTCCTGGACTCTCAGGCTAGCTTTCGGTCTACACGATAACGTTTTTGTAGTAAAACAGATGACAGATAAGATAATGATCCAGAACCGCGAAACTTTAATCGCATTTTTATATCTAGAAAAGCTTAGCTTTCAATCGCATACCAAGAAAAGTGATGTAGAAGCCCTATCAGCAAACGAATTAGTCCATTGTTACCAAATTCCATAAAACGCACATATGAAACTACCAAAGGCTTTGTCCGAATAGGCAATATACAAACAGACGGTTTTACTACAGAAGGAGGCTTACGACAGGGGAATGTATTAAGTCCTATTTTGTTCAGTTTAGTCATGAACGACGTGATAGGGAAAACAAGAACTACTGTACGTGAAGAATTGGACTATGGACTATCTTTGCTGGTAATTCTACGGATCTACAGCAAAACTTAATGTTTTGGGAAACAGCTTTGGAGGAAATTGATATAAAGATCATTGTAGAAAAATCAATCAAAAATAATGAGGGTGACAAAGAGAAACTGCAACACGATCCAGTAGCCATAAAGGACAGGGCTTTAGAGCAGGTGGAACAATTTAATTATTTACGGTGCACTCTGGACTATAAGGAAGAAAAGAAACTGAAATCACTGAAAGAATTATGTCTGCATGTTGTCTAATAACTGAGGTTGTCAATAATCTGAATAATGACAACAAGAGTATTGCTGTTTTTTTTAACCTTGCTGAGGCTTTCGACACGGTTCCTCACGATAAACTAATCGAGGGATTATCTTTCAAACAGATCACCACTGCTAAAACTAAATAAAATAACGAGCAATGGAAAAATAATAACGATTGGGGCCCGCAGGGTACTGTTTTGGGACCGCTCGTTTTTATAATTTATATAAATAAGATGCTAAAGCTGGGCACGGGGGGTTTAATTATTTCTTATGCTGACGATACTGTACTTCTTTTTGCAGGTTCTAGTTGGGAGGATGTAAAGTGTAAAACAGTGTCTAGGTATGGTAAAAGACTGGTTACAAGAGAGTAAACTAGCATTGAATTTATCTAAGACAAACTATATTGCGTTTTCATTGACCAATAAAAACAGGCCAGATTACAGCACTATTATGTTGTATGATAATTATTTTGTTAAGGAAGTGTCTCAAACTGAATATCTTGGAATCATTATTGACCAACATTTAAAGTGGCAACCGCATGTTGATTATGTATCGAGTAGAGTTAGAAAATTAATCCATAAATTTTATTTACTGCGTGAGTTTCTCGATAAAAAAAATTAAATTATAAAGCATATTTGTTGAATCTATAATGAGATATGGGATATTAGTATGGGGGGATTGTATAATAATGCTCTACATAAACAGTTTGAAAAAAAATTGAAATTTGGCCATATTTCCGACGGGGTAGGTAAATATGCCCATATATGTGGCGATATTTACGGTATATATTATTTTAAATAACTTCTAAATAAGTGAAATAAAAATGGACATTAGATTTTAATACAACTTTATTTAAAAGATATTGTTTAGGCGACATCCAGTACATTATCATCGTCGTGGTTAGTCCAGACTGCACCGAGTGCATACAAATTTATCTGTATCTTCTTTTGTTAATCCAACACAGTCCTCATGGACATATGTTTCACATAAAAAGCATATTCTCATGTCTGCTATTCTGTCCTCATTGCAAACATAACAGTACCATGAATCTTTAGATTTTTCAGATTGTCCTTTACCACGTGACTGTTTAGAAACCTTCTTCGGAGTTACTGCTTCACTGTTGTTCCTTTTAGCAGAATATTTTCTTTTTTGGTAAGCCACTTTAAATGGGCCTGGTATATCTTCTATTTTTTGTTTAGGAGCATTTGATGGCCCTGACATGTTATTTTTATCTGTAAACATTGATTTTGTTAGCGCCTGTGCGAGACTATTGATAGCTTTTGCCCTCGGAGCAGTTTTTGGGCTTGACGTTTTCTCTGGAGTTTTTAACATTTGACACAAAGATGTATATGACTCATTAAGTGTTGTGGAGCAGACTACATTTAATTCAGTTTTTGACTCGATATTATTGTTATGTTGCTTTAGTTTGGACAAAGGAATGTGATCGCTACTGTCGTAATCGTCATAAACACTTGGCAGGGGTTCTATAAAGTTCGATATATCTTCTTGATTTGGGTGCTGTGGATGATCATCAGAGGCGTTGTCTGGAGTTGCAGCACAACGCTTTGCTTGGCTTGGCTGTGAATCTGAGGAATCATTTGATGGATTTGAATTACCCTTGTCTTCATTTGGGAGAGGATAAGGAGAATTTCCACTGGCATCAGTAACGTGGCTTTCATTAGTATCTTCATTTTCCTGAGGAGGAATTAACAGATTTGTAGCGTCGCTGTCGTTAGTATCTCCATTTTCTTGATTTTCAGAAGGAGAAGCTCCAGGTTCTGCGAAATTATGAGTAGGTATGCTGGGAGCGTATACTTCTTCTGGAATCCTATCTGGATTGAATGGGAAAATTCCGGTCGCTTCAAATCCAGCTTTGACATTAGCAGGTGTCGCAGCTTTATCCCACACTTTGGAAAATAATATCCCAAACCTTTGTTTGGTTATTTTCATGTCCTCGTGAATAGACCAGTATTTTAAAACTTCTTCATCCCAGTAATATTCAAAAGAACGAAATACTGATTTGTCCATGGGCTGCAATTCATGTGTGGTGTTGCTCGGGAGACAGAAAAGCTTGATGTCGAATTGTTCTGCTGCTTCAACTATCGAATAGTCTAAGTGGCACTTCGCTCCATCCAAGATAAGTAAACAAGGTCCTGGCAATTTAAATTTTGCAAAATGGTGTGTCCAGTTCACAAATGTTTCAGAATTCATACTCCCTTTGGGTGTCATTTGGGCTACTGAACCGGTGGGTAACGAATCTACCCATTCTGGCTTCATTCGTTTGCCCTTAAAGAGTATCATGGGCGGAATGACATTGCCTAAAGCGTTGCCACATGAAACTATTGTTACATTCTCGCCGTGTTCGGGTGCTACCAAATGTACTCTCTTGGATCCACGTTCAGCCAAAACTTCTGGTGATTTATGCAAATTAAGCTGGCAACCTTTTTCGTCAATATTATAGATACGTTCCGGTTTGTTCATAAGGTCATTTTCTACTAAGATTTTCTTCAATTTACTAAAATAAGCGGAAACTACTGCTTTATTCAGCTTTTGTGCCCTTGCGGGGTTTAGGTTATGTGCTTTTCGTCTACTGATATTCCTATGACGTTTTAAAAATCCTCTCAGCCAATCTCGTCCCACCATCAAGCCTCCACTTGGCGCTGGACTGTTATTTTGATCACAGAATGTCTTCACGCATCTACGAAGTACACGCTGTGTTAATGGATATCCCACATTACACAGACGAATAATACGGGATTCCAAAATCTTTTCATCTTCAGGGTTAAGAAGTGGTTTCCGGCCCAAAGTAGATTTGGTCTCTTTGTTTTCTTGTAAATAACGTCTCAGAGTGCGTCTTGGCACATTATAATGCTTGGAAGCCGTATATATTTTCATCTTACCACTTCTGACTGCAGCTAAAGCTAATTTCATATTAGCATCTGCCCAGTTACTTCGAAGCCGTTTACATTTATAGTGTGCCATGGTCTAAAACAAAAAACAAAAAAACGTGTCAGCAATTCAGTAAGTACTGTTAATATGGCCAAACGGTGGCCATATTTGCAGTCATCCAAATTTTTTGTTTTCATATTCACGAATGAAAAACACACTATTACTTTGATAAATATACAAACAAATATGAAACTACAATTATTACACAACATCGTAATGTGAATAATAAAGATTTATAATGAAAACAACGTTAAAATACAGGACAATACTTACTTACTGTTTTTATAACCTCAACACTGCTTTTCACTATAATGACGGCTGAGCGGCTAACGCTTGCACGGATGGGTGACAGGTAGGCCGTTCGAGTACATGCGACACTAGCGACAATTTAGGGTCGCGTTCAGCTCATAACAAACTTTCGTGTTTGGGAAAACGGTATGTGGCCATATTTACAGGCTGGCCATATTCGACCTAGGTACCTTATATAGGACCAAAGATATATAACATTCTGCCAGAACACTTGGAAAAGATGAAAAATATTAAAACATTTAGCACCAGCTGCAGAGAATTTTTGAGAATGCTGCACAATTTGAAATGTTTTTCTAATGATGTTCTTGTATCATAGTATGATTGATTTATTTTTCGAGATATTGAGGTTGATTATTATTTTTTTATTGTATTTTATAATGCAATAAATAGGATATTCTTTCCATTTGTAAGTCCGGATGATGAAAGCACTTACAGGTGGTTTGAACCATCATCTAGGTGCATCTTTCTGTCATCAGGATGTCCTTGATGAAGAGGAATTATATTGTTGTGTTATATATTTATGTGTGTGTCTTTATTAAATATTATTATTAAATATATATATATATATATATATGAATTACAGTTTCCTATGCAAACAAAAAATTTCGAGATACTAAAATTAAAGTCTATATATCCGTCTTTCTCCGAATTCTCCTATGGGGGCCAGAAACCTGGACATTAACCAAGAAACTGGAAAGTTAAGCGATAGAAATAAAATACCTTAGGAGAGCGTTGGGGGCCATGAGGATGGATCATCTTAGGTACGAGGACATAAGGAAAGGGCTGGAGGTGGTTCCAGAAACAAAAATTATCGAACAGAATCAATTACATTGGTTTGGTCTTTTCTACAGAATGGATGAGCGAAGACAGGTGAAGAAGATATGGTAGGCGCATGTTATACCTGAGTGAGGAAGAGGAAGACCAATGGAATGGGGAAATAGAACAGATCCTGGATAAAAAGGTGTACCAGCACAAGAGGCAAGAAGAATGACAGAAGAGAAAAAACAGTGGCAAAAGTTTGTTATCGGTACTTGAAAAGGGTTATGCTTACAAGAAGTAGGATTCGGACCATATACACGGTGTCCGAATAGTGCGTCAAATCTCAATATCGTCGTTACCGTTAGAGTTTCTGAAAAAAGTTAAACAAAAACCTGTAGGCACAGCTAAGGGCTACAACCTTGAGTTATTTTCAGCTTTACAGGATGTACCATAAATTATTGGCAATGTTGCATTTAAATTTGTCGATAAAATTACATATTTCCGTTTTGACTCTGTATGCCTCGGATGGAACCTGTACGTAAAAAATATTGGACGTGAATGTCTACCACTGCTTCCATCACTCAGTATAATAAAAAAGATTCCATCTAAGGTGTGCTTAAGATACGGAAAGTCAAATGTACAATGATTTTAACAAAAAAGTGGCCATATATTTCGAAATATAATATAATATAATAAAAAGCGCTTATGAAAATCAACAGAAATACGGTCTCGGTAAATAAATACTAGTTAGTATTGCCACTAATTTATGGGACACCCTGTATATCTGAACATAATTTTAGGCTAGCTCTGCCTATAGCTTTTGTATCATATTTTTTCTGCAACTCTAATAACTAACGAAGCTTTGGCACACTATTTGGACACCCTGTATATTATACGAGTATACTAAAGTTAAGAAGTTTGGAATTCTTTTCTTAAGGATGTATCAGAAAAACCACGAAACAAATTCCCAAGCTCTCATTCATAACTAAGTAGTTAGGATACTAGTTAGAACCCATCCAAAATTACATCCATAATGTAGGATAGAACTAATCTGTAATTTAATTAACACTGTCAGTCTATAGCGAAGTTTATAAATTGGTAACGCCCTGAGAACCGAAAAAGTGATTAAAACAAACTTATACCGTCCGTCTCTGGTCCAGGTAGAAAGAGATAAAGCCAGCCCGTCAGCACAAACTGATTAAAAGGTGCTAAGAAAAATGGTGTGGGTGGTTTCTGGGAGACAAAACGTATCGCCTGTTTAAAACATAAGATAGCCTATAGCATGACATGTCATAGCATTGATTGACACATTGTACCCTCAAGATAGCCAACCATATTCGTATTCTGTTTCTCTGTAAAAAGAGACATAAAGGATACAAGACTAACTAGCAAAGCGGTGCTTTTAGCAAAAGAGTATTTAAGCCGTAAAAGTTCTGTTATAATGCAAATCTGTTTCCTGCCGCACATTTGCTCTATAAAGAGTGTTTAAAACAACCTTGTAGCATACTTATACAACACCTTATAAGAATTTTGGAGTGTTGCAGAAGGGTTTTTGCAACTATATTATACGACATATCAGCTCAGTAGTCAAAATAGTTGTAGTGTGGAATTCATACAACAAACCCGAGCCTTGTTGTTTTGGTGTGCTAAATTACTACTTTAGAAACCAAGTTGCTACCAACGAAAGCATTTGTACAATTGTCGTTTAGTAACTGACTAACATTTGTTTGCTTGTGGTTGCGCTTAATATACATAATGATATGCGAATATTTAACTATGGTCCAAGAATGTTTCCTAACAAAAACTCTGGGTGTTGAAGTTTTGGGACAAAAATGGAAATCAATTAATATTTTCAGAACCACTTCAGATATTTCATTGATATTTAGTACGTAGTGAAAGTTAATAAAGATGCATATTTTCCAATGCAAAAATAAATTTCGGCTTTAACAGTGGCGTGCGTACGAGTATTGACTTCGATATTTTTTAAGAAAAAATGGTACGCCAATGGTTTTTTGCCAATTCCCCGTTCAATTTAAAACAAATGATCTCTCTTGAACTGTTTGCCTTCGATGCGCCATTTTTGAGTAAAAAAATAAAAACCGTTCTATTGCCCGAGAAAATTAATGTAATAATTGAAGAATGCAATTTAGCAATAAATATCTAGTTGCTCTGGAATACGTCACTGGCTTTTGACATCTGACAAGTCTCTGTTATTCAAATCTGTTCGCTGTGACATCTTTTTCATTACTTACCTTTTACAATCTTGTTAATAATGGTGAATTTTTCAAATGCAGAAATGGCGGAAATGCATTACGTATATGGCCTTGACGACGGTAATGGTGATCAAGCCAGACGGATTTATCACCAGAGATATCCCGATCGTGCTTTGCCAGATAGTCGAACCTTTTCAAGTATTCATCGTCGTCTTGTCGAAACTGGTTCTGTCCGAAAAGGAACATCTGCAGGTAGACCTCTAAGTGTGAGAACGCCTGAAATTGAGGAAGCAGTGCTGCACGAAGTCGAAGATCATCCTGAAATGAGTACGGGGAAGATCGCTAGACACTTAAATATTTGCCATCAAATTGTTTGGGGAATTTTAGTGGATTTTTTGTTATATCCTTAAAATATTTTAAGAGTACAGGCAATACTTCCCACTGATTTTCCAAGGCGTGTGCCTTTTTGTCAGTGGTATCTTCAAAAAATTACACAAAATCCGCAATTTGAATCAATGATTCTGTTCACGGACTAAGCTAATTTTTCTCGAAATGTCATTCAGAATTTACACAATAATCATTTGTCGGCAGAAGAAAATCCCTCTGTCGTAACCGAATACCCATTTCCAACACCAATTTTCGGTTAACCTATGGGCAGGAATTATTGACAACCACTTTATTGGCCCATTCTTCTTGCCGGGACGACTTGACGGACAGACTTATCTCAATTTCCATCAACAACTGTTGCCTTTGCTGCTTGATGATGTTCCGTTAGTAATAAGAAACAATATTTGGTACATGCATGATGGTGCACCAGCGCATTTCAGTGTAGCGGTTCGTAATTATTTACAAACTGTTTATCCAAATCGTTGGATTGACCGCGGTGGGCCCCAAGAATGGCCACCAAGGTCCCCAGACCTCAACAGTTTAGATTTATTTTTGTGACGCTATCTTAAGACACTAGTGTACACAAGCCCCATTAACACTGTAGAGGAATTAAGAGAAAGAATAGAGAAAAAATACTCCAGGGATATTTCAACGAGTGCGCAATTCTCCATGAGAATGAGGGCGGAAGCATGCATACTAAGTGAAGGGCATTTTCAACAATTTTTCTAATCATTTCGTTGGTTTCAGTGTTATGTTTATGTTGCCAGTTGTTGTCGTTCATTACCCCTAATGTGTTTAATTGTTCAAATTAAATTAATAATAATTTTGCAAGTTAGACAATAGAACGGTTTTTATTTTTTTACTCAAAAATGGCGCATCGAAAGAAAACAATTCAAGAAAGATGATTTATTTTAAATTGAACGGGGAATTCAAAGATAATTTTTATTTAGCAAAATAACATTAATTTTTCATGTCGATTCTCGCCCTTAAATATTCGCATATCATTAAGGAACATCCTGTATGGATGTACATTTTCTCCACAACCTAAGTTCCTGCTGTCTTCTTTTTAGGCTAAATGCCGTAACCAATATTTTTCTACTTCAAAACTACGCATGAATATTTGCTTTAAAATGTATGTCAACTTTTCAAACAGAAAGTATAGATCTGGTACAAAATGTGATCGTGGCAGAGAGAGCAGCAGAACGTCTCCATGATTTTCTTGTCTAATTCTTGTCAAGAAATAGGATCAAAAATTTAATTGTGACATATGGGCTTAACATATTTACTACTTATTACTAAAAGGTTTGAAAAGCTTGCTCAGCCTGTAGGTGGAAGATCATGGACAGTGTGTTATTCTGTCTCGTAAGT